TTCAGCATGATAGACTTGTATATAGCGAGCACCACATGAATGGCTGTGTTGACTTTCTCTGTTGTGCAACCAGAACTATGTACTTGTGTGTGCCATGTGCAACTGTCTTAGTTGTTGCAGGAGGAAAAAAAAAAAGAGGAAGAACAAAATATTTGTTTCTCCTGTTAAGTGACAGTTCCCACTGCTTACTAAGTGGGTGTTTCTTAATTGTAGGTCAGTGTGGGGTTTGGGTGAACTACTAATCAAGCTACTCTTTCTAACTTCCAAGGGGCTGTACAGGTTTGTGTTAATCAAGTTTGGAGCAGTAACTTTAAAAACCTTACCTTGACCTTGAAAGGCTTAGAACATCTTCTGTCACCTGCCAGAGCCAGATTTGATGCTACACCTTAGAGCCCCAGGAAATCCCCTTGACTGTTTTCCTGGAATACGTGCACACTTAATAAAATAACACCACCAGCCATAATTTCTATATGCTTGAGTTCCCTGACCATTTGACTGAGTCCTAAATTTTTTTTCTTGAGGAAAGGAGCCTGTTCATGTGTGTACACAGCGTTTAACTCTCTGCTGGTTAGACTGACTTCCTTTTTGCTAGTGGAATACGTTAAAACTCTCTAGCTGCAAACCTTTGCCTCCCCATTTCTGCACCGATGCAGATCGGGTGAATGAGAAAGATGTCTTTTACCTTCTGTCTACAAGACAACTTGGGGGAAAAAAACCAAACAAAGCACCTAAACCTAACTGTGGCAATACCATAGGCATACTAGAACTTTGCAAAAGTGTTTTACGTACAGAGCGACTTGTCTCTTACTACCAGTCGACTGAACGGTCTGAGTTCCTGCATATCACTTGGGTTTGAACATACTTCATTGATCTTTTCCAAACCAACAACATAATGTGTTGCTGATGCCAGGAGTGTGATCAAAGAACTTGCGTAGGTGAGGGCAGCGGTCAGCATCACCTTTTTTCTCCAGCCAAAGGCACATGCGTCAATCTCATATTATTAGAAAGGAAAAGGAGGTTTATGAACCTTGTTCCACGTATGAACTACAGAGCTGTGATGTTCAGCATAGCTGTGTCAGTGTGTACGATGCTAGTGGGGATCTTCATCTCACCCAGGCTCCAGGCTAGTCTTATCAACGGGTCATGCCGAGAGCACACCAATCCTACACTGGAGTGCAGTGCCTGGGGGGCCGAGAATACCTACAGCTATTCACTGCTTTCCCCCACATGCCTGATTACGTCAGGAATTTCACTGAGGAAACAAAAAATTAATGTTCCATGAAGACTTCAGTTTGAATAGAGTGTAAAAGTTAAGTTTCCTTCCCTTTTTTGAGCTTTTCCATTAGAAGGAACAGAGCTGCCAGACTGCAGCTAAAAACTAACTTCCTCTAGAAACTGTATTTGCCATGTCTTTGAAAAATTTTACAGGTGAAACTAATTTAATTATTTGTGGCTTGATTCTGTGCAGAGGCTATGCAGGTGCACCTGCTAGCAGCAATGCTTGAGTACTCTGGGAGCTACGTGTAGCATCTCAACAAGCCTGAGGCCATCCACTGGCAAGGTACGAATATCTTAACGAATATCTTAACTCACTCTGGCAGTAAACGAAGGGAGAGGCTAACTGAGGAGGTAAGGGAGATCAGTAGTATCTTTAGAGGAGGGAGTAGGTGGGATTGTTGTGGCCGCAGCCCAGTGCCCTCCCTGGGGGGGTCTTGGGGATTTCTGCAGCCCCCTTCTCTCTCTGGGTGGCCAGCAGCGAGTGCCTAGAGAAGTGTCAAAGGTTGGGGCGAGAAGGTGGCCATGCCCCACGGTCAGGACCAGATGGCTCCCAGCTGGCAGCGGAGCGCTCTCAAACCTGGGTGAGGGGCCGGCAGGGTCGGTCTCCCCGTCCCACGGGTTGGGAGAGCCGGGAGCCGTCGTCTCCCACCGGTTCCTGCAGCCGCTGCGGAGGTGGTAAGCAGGGCTGCCGGTGCGGCCGTTCCGTCCCGGCGTGCGGGTGAGTGCTGGGCTCCAGCTCGGCCCTTCTTGGGGCGGTAGGTGTGATGGGGTTACCCGAGACTGCCGGGGCTCTGCGGCAATCACCCGTGTGCTGTTGGAAAGAGGGTGTCCTTCGGCTGAGGCTTGTGCTTGGGAGCTCTGCTTTGTCCTTTGGAAGTATTACGAGTAATAATTGTACAGAGCAAGAGGGGGGAAAAAAACCAAAACAACCCGCTGAAATGTTTGTACGTTGTTTTTAAGGACTTTGGAGTCACGTTTCTTTGCGGTTTTCAAAAAAACTTAGCCGCTGACGAGGAATACGTAAAATCTGTAGCTTCATTTGTAGTTTGCGTGTGTTTGCTTTGCCAGTGACTCCGGGGCACGTGAAGTGGCGTTTGTGGGGACGGGAGAGTATCTCTTGCTCTGTGAGGGTAAAAACAGCCCCGCAGTCACAGAGCACTCGGGTTTGTGTCTCTTAAGAAACTTAGTCCTTTAAAGACTTGTGGTCACGTATCTGCTTCCACCATCTCCAAGGCAGGATGAATATACGCGTAGGGTGTGCCTCACCAGTGTTTGCTTGGTCTGTTATTTAAAAGGTCCGGTATAAATAGTCGTAGCAGAGCTCTGGGAAGCACTCTGTCCCTGTATTTCACTTGAGCACTGCTCGACTGGGTTAATCTGAGGTACAAACTGTCTCCACCTGTAGCTAGTCCAGGTGCTTACAGGAGAGTGTAGTGAGAGGAAAATACTCTTTTCCTTGGAATCCTCTCAAGAGCTTTGGTAGTCCTGTCCCGCTTGGATTTGCCCAATTCCTTTTTCAGGCCACTTTGAGCTCCCCCAGCGTCCTACGGCAGGGAGTTCCACGGTTTGTGCGGAATGACAGTTTCCTTTGTTGCATCTGCTTTTCTGCATCTTCAGCTGAATGGTCCTTGGGCCTCATGGTGGGGGGGTAAATAGCAACACTTTTCCCTTCATGCACCATTATTAATATTATTATTACTTTTCTTGCTGAGTCCTGCTAGCAGCCTGTGTGTCTTCTCAAAACTGCTGAGCAAAGAGTGACTATACCAAGGGTACTGTTCTGACTCCATGACTTCTCTTGATGCATTATAGCTAGTTTAGAACCCGTTGTTATGCAGACACGGCCAGTTGTTTGAGCTTGAAATTCTGCTTTTTGAACTGGATTTTATTCTCCAGTCACTCTGTAGCTAAGTATATTATGCAAATAGTTGCAACGGCCTTTAGATTTGACCATTCCGGTTCAGTATTTAAGCATAGATATTGACCCTGAGGTACTGAACTGTGTCTTCTTTTTTCTCAAACTTTTTTCAGTTTTTCAGATTGATTCTGAATGCTGGTTTCATTCAAATTTTGTACTCTTGTAGCCCCTCCCAACTGGATGTTGTTTGACCCTTTGCTGTCAAGCTTTTAAAAACATTGTGTATTTTCCATAATCAAACCCAGCAATTAAAAATGTACTGGATTCAAGATAGACCCATAGAGAATACATGGCCATTAAGAAAGAAAATATTACAAGATTTAAAAATATGGACTTTTATATCGCTTGAAATATTTTTGCAAGGTCATTATTGTGTCTAATGCATCAAAATAGGCTGAAAGGGGGCTGGGGAATGGGGCCATCATATTAAATGCTTGTATTTTGCTTTTTTCAGTGCATCTATTTAATATAAATACTAACATGGTTAAGATGCTTTCATAGGATGGTAACACAAATTATGAGAAAAATAAGTAATCTCCCTTTTTGAGGCTGTACAAATTACAGCTGGAACTGAACATGCTTTTTTGTGCTTCCGGATGAATTTCATGTAAGAAAGATGCTGAATACTTGGGGATAACAAAGAGCTGTGATAGCAAATGTTTCCTCATCCCCATCCTTTGCCTTATGATTGTTTTAAAGAGTGTTTAAGGATGACAGCTTCACTACAGGGAAAGGATAGTGTGTGAAATGGAGGAATAAGGCGACACATTATAGTTTGGGGTTCCTCCTCCATTGAAATAATGTTGGCTAGGATACGAGAAAGAACAAAAAAAGAACAAAAAGCAGAACTTCTTCATCTAGATGTTGAAAAAGGTGCAGCTGTTTTATTCCACAGGAAAAATGTTTTCAGGTCCTCTCGATAGGGAAACATTCTCTCTGTAAAAAATTCTTAAGATTTTTAATACTTTATTTCATGTCTTGTGTGTGAGTTTTATAAATTTTTTTCTTTTTTTTTTTTCCTAATACAAATGTAATTTATATTTGAGGGATGGTGGTTCAGAAGTACAGTGGAATCGTCAAAATAGTAAGGTGTTACATAGTGGAAACCACTGAAACCGGGCCTTGGCCCCTGAGGGCCAACAGGAGTGGAGCTTTGCAGGATCTGGGGGGGTCGGTACAGCCGTAGCCCCCTGGGAAGCCGCGGGACAAACCCGAGACTGCCCCAGCCAGCCCTCTCTGCAGCGGGGCTTCGGCCGCGGCTGCGCCGGGCGGGGGAGACCACTGCCCAAAGGGAAAATGGGGCTTTACCCGTCGGCATTGCCTGCATGAAGACGAAATGTAAGTGAAAGACTTGTGTACGTGATGGCAAAACGTGCCCTGAGCTCCTGTGTGGTGCAGGTTCCTTACGGGAAGGTTCTCCTGGACGTGGCTGGGCAGGGTTGGGGTGGGAGCAGCGAGTACCAGACATGGAGGAAGCTTTGGGCTGGGTAGAGAAAGGGCGGCAGAGCTGCAAGGTACTGGAACACCAGCAGAAATAAACACTCTTGTTCAGTAATACATCCAAAGTTAATGTAGGGTTTGAAAGGAGAGAAGTAGTTTTCTAAAGGACAACGCTGCGTTGTGGTTTAGGAGGCCGTTTTACCGACAGTGCGGAGTACCTTCCTTCAGTCAGGCTTTTGGGGGCAGATGGAAAAAAAGCAATTTACTATATAATGCCTCACGCTAGCTAGGGTATACCTTGACTTTATAGGGCATCTTTTGTTAAGTTTTTAAGATCTAACTAGAAATTAACAGAAACCAGAAATCAAATGACAATTTTAATAGACTTTAGAACAGAGTGTACGAGTATAAAACACTGGTTTTGTATTTCAAAAGTTGCAGGAAGATAGCCAGTCATTTTAAACAGTCTTCTACAAAACATATGCCAGTAGATTACATAAAAGACACTATATACAATATAAAAGAGCAGAAAACAATCCTCACTGTAAAAATAATTTAAAACAAAGTATTTCAATTTAAAATATCTCCTATAGCACAAACTAATACATTGTGACATGCAAGTGAAAACTAAACATATTGCATTCTTTAGTGTAGCCAAATAAGAGCTGTATTAAACTTGGACAATGAGACAACATGCCAACATTTTCTGATGAATACAGGAGGCTGTTCTTAAATATTTATTAACTGATGTGTCTTATGTTCAAAGAACAGCGACTATACATCTTCCAAAATGTAATAAATATTAAAGCAAAGAATATGAATAATCTACATCGTAGAGTTCATTTGGGCCAATGTTGAAAAAGTGGTTTATAGAAAAATGCTGTTTCACTTACTACTGCACTGTGCAATTTTACAAAATAGTTCTAAAGGCTTGGAAACAATCTGCACTTGAAAAGTTGCAATGTCCAGTTTTAAGGCAGCCTAGCACTTGAATCTATGATGTAATAATTTGAGTAGCTGCTTTGCTTTTAATATGCAAGGTGGAGCTAGCAGGTGGAAGATTATTTTCCCAACCCGAGATGTGACCTCAGAACAGCGTCCTGCATGGTTAGGTTATGAATTTGTGTTTTATCCACGCAGCAGCGTAAGCAGAGGCTCTCGCTATCCGAGTTAGTTGCTCCTGGTTTTGTTGCATCGATAAGTATAAAGGAAGAGCTCATCTTTTTGTGCCTTCTTGCGTGCCAGTAGAAATGCTATTCTGAACTCAGCCTAGCTTCCACATTAGAGCCCTGGCAATTTATCAACTGCTATTTTTAATGCAAGCTGCGCTATGTTTGACTTCTGTATGGAACGTGAAAAACTTCTACTGGGGGGGATCCATTTTGTTTAAAATGCCGGTATTGTAATTGCAAAGGAGCCAATGTCAACATCGCTTCATATCCACAGGAAGTATGAAACTCGGTAACCCAAGCGTTTTCACAGCGCTTCTTGATCATAGGACCATAGAATACCATAGGATTTCTCAAGTGCTCACTGTCTTGTTTCCATTTAACTACCTACTCACATTTAAGTATGTCTCAAACATACAAAGAAACTGTTAAAGCAAAAAATTAGCTGCCACAGTAGGTCTTGGAAAATGCCAGTGTTTAATGACAGACTAGGTGAGAATGAAAGGTTTAGCAGAAGCATAAGAAAGTTTTAAATAAACCAAACTGTTACAAAGCAGGAGGTGTGAAAATACCATTCTTTGGTCTAAATTAGCTGTTCCCTTTATATTAGTTTAACATTCCAATGGCTTTTTCAAAACTGTTTAAAAATAATATAAGCTGAAATTCATTAAGCAAAAATATGTATTATATACATGGATGCCTGATCAGACAGATGAACTTAAAAGTGAACATAGTGACAATTGTTTAGATACTCCTAGTACCTTAAAAAAAAAAGATGAGTTAGTGTTGAGTGCGCAGTAATAGAATTTTATTGAAAAAGGTAAAAAACTAAGCATGAAAATCTGTTTTAGTTATTTATAAACACTACATCCTTCTGGTTTTGTTGCTCTAAATTCAGACGTAAACATTCATTCTGACATGCCAAAGCTCCTAATGCTGGTGGAAAGTTCCTGTAACCAGTCAGTGATCACTTTACAGCTTGTTGCTCGGATGATCAGTCCCTGCAGCTTCGTTTGTATAAGCTGATTCATCAGCTGCCAATTCATCTTGTTCAACTCCGTCTTCCCCGAATCCAGGTTCCTCTTCCCTTTCAGGAGCATCCTCATCCTCTATGCCATTGTAAAACTCTTCGATCTCACTCTCATCCTCCACATCTAAGCTCTGACTACGACATGAGCCGCTTTCGCTACTACTCCCGCAGGAACTAGAAGATATGATATCATCTTCAGAATCTGAGTATACCTCAGCACCGTGGAAAATATAGCGATTTGGTGGTAAAAATAGATACTGAGTACCTGAAACAGAATTCCAAAAGTCAGTAAAAGGCTAAAATAAATGATTCATACAAGATCTTGCAGACTTCTGGTTAGAAGGCACCTGCATATATGTATTTTCAACAGTGAAACTTAACTGACAAATCAGATTACATTAGAAACGCACTTATTTCAATGTATGTGTATTTATTATGAAGCACAAAACAAATGCTTCACTCGGCATTCCTTCTCGCCCCTCCCTTTGACATAAAAGAGCATTTAAACTTTAATGTCTAGCAGCTTTTTTTCATTGGTACAGTTATTCACAGCTACATTTCCATTACTTGTAGCAGAAATGGAACCCACTGCACAGAGTATTTGACAAAGTTTAAAAACAGCCTTTGCTTCAGAAAGCTGCAATTTAATACCTGGCTCTTCATCCACAATGATTTTCTAGTGTGAGAACTCCTTACATCAGTTAAGAGACTGCATACTGGAAGGCTTCCTTGGAAAGTCTTAAAGTTTCCTTCCAAATATGCCCGGCTCCAGCTGTGAGATTTCCTTTTCAACTCTTATCATGACTTCATCTTGCAGTTCTACTGCCATACCAAATTATGACCTAGTGTGACCAGCTTCTTAACACCTGAGGATCAAATTAACTTGTCTGAAAATGCATTTGAAAATGTTAGAAACCGATTTATTTTTTGGTACCTACCTTGAACCTCCTAAACTTTGATCTTTTTAGGGAGTATGTAATTGCTGGTTATAAAACCTATTATGAATTAAAAAAAAATTTCCTATTGGCTTCTCTAAAAGAAATAAACGATACAGTGATGAGTTATGTAGACGTTTGTCTGAACAAAAATAACCAGCAAAACACACTGATTCCCTCAAGGGTAACTTATGTTTATTCTAGACCTATTTAAAGCAATACATCTGGGCCAAAAAATGGAAAATACTGGGATGAATTAACGCTTACCATCCAGCCTTTTGCTAATCTGTTCTTTTGCAGATCTGTTTACCCAGCACTTCCTCAATATCTCATTTTTTTCTTTGTTTTCTCCGTTGTTAGATCCATTTTCCTTCATTGTTTCAGAGTTCATTAGTTCACTAGCAGGATTTTCAGGGTTTTCTGACGATGTCTGTGTGTCCTGAAGCTTTTCCTCTGCACAGGTCCCTTTAGTTTCTGAGGCAGGATCACAGTTTTCTACCTTACATTCAGCTGGGTGTTCTGAAGACACCACTGAAGTATCTGGTGGAGTCATTCTTTCTGGTGAACTAGAGCCTTCTGAAATGTTTAAAGGGGTAGGCGGTAGCTCGGAAGAGTGCATTTCGAGCTCCTTGTGCGTTCGTGGAGGCTTTTCTGTTATTTCTGAAAGTTTTACCGAGTTGTAGCAAAGTTTTGTATATTCGCTACCTAGCCTTTGACATAATTCATTAATAATAACATCACAGTCTCCAAGAAGCTCCACGTCAAAGTGTAGATGAGGCAAAGGCTCCCTATTAATTAAGATCTGAGGCACTTCGTGGGGGATGGAACCTATATGTAGAAAAAAGAATTTAAAGCTAGTCACTTCAGTTTTACTTTCAGCAGAGATCTACTTAGAAAGCTTGACTCCTCAGACTTCTCTTCATACCTTCACCGGTAGCCTGTCTGGACTTTTCCCCCTGTTTTTTTCCAGTAAAAAGTGGAATCTCAATCACCGAGAAACACATGCACAGAAATATTGACTACAGCAATGTTTGGTCAAGTGTAAAAAGATTACTAAAATTAGTACTATAATCTCTTAGAAGAATTACGTTGATTTTGTGCATTCATTTTATGTACTTAAGTGCTCATGAAGAACATACTGCTGGTAAATGACATCCCCTTCATTAGGTCAAAATATTTCCACGTACAACTTACACTGTACAGGGTTGCTCAACTCATTTCTGACATTTAGGCTTCCAAACCCCACCAGTTTGGTAACCTAGCTTCGATTCCTCAGATAACCAACTAATGAAACCCAGTTCTAGGGCACAGAAAGAGCAACGGTTTGTGTAGTGGATCCTCACTTTCCAGTCCTTATGCATTTCCCATCAGCCCAAACACTAGGCTCTGCCTCTCATATAGCAAAGAGGATGTTGCTACAAGGACCATGGATGCGGTACTGTTCCCAGTTAATAGCAGATGCTAAGCACGTGTCCTCCTTGGGCTTACATGTGAAGAGAATTTTTTTTAGTACTAGTAAGTCTTGCATTCAGTAGGCAAATAAATCACCTGTCATGGTGTTTTGTCAGCCTTTCTGAAGGGCGTTTTTCTATAAAGTATGTTAGCAGAGATGTTTTTCCATATCACTTTTAAAAGCTAAGGATCCAAATAGTGACACACTATATAATGCCCACTGTGTATCATTAAGTACTGACTTTAAAATAAGCTACAACTCAGGACACCCGATGTACTTGATCCGATTTTTTGATACTACCTTTAACCTTTTAAAGACGATTCCTTTCTAAATCTTGCAAGTAACTCTGAAAGCATATTGCAAGCAGGGAGAGAAATGAATTGAATCTCAGAACAAAGTCATTCAAGTTTTAGGAGAGTACTTTTTCAGATTATCATTTCATTATCTTGAGATCTGCCTGGAGTGTAGAAAAAGCACTTACAATTTCTTACTTCCTCTATTTTGCATTTCAGCTTTACACAGGCAATCAGTTTTCATCTTAGAAAACTAGATGCTTAATCTAGTTTCTTCACTGAATCAAGCCAAAAGCATTTCTTAGAGCTCTTAACTGAGAATTTCACTTGTGATCCAAATTTTTGGAAGAAAATATTACTGGAGATAGTCACTTACTTGGAATCAATGCTACTGGTCTTACTTTCAGTGAAGACCCAATGACAATAAGGAGATCAACTTCATTTTTGTCGTATTTCATGGCGCGATGGAACTGCTCGGGTAAGTTCTCTCCAAAGAACACTATGTCTGGCTTCATGATAGCGAGCGGTTCATCAGGTGGACATCTGGGACATCTAGGTACAACCTGCAGTAGAACAGCTTCCATTACTACAATTCAAGGCTGCGCCCTTGAAAACATCAGATTTTAGCAATTCACAGTGACTTATTTTGGCAAAAGACAGGGAAGTTTCAGTGGTATTTCCTCATTTCTTTTTTTCTGTGGCTACACAGACAAGTACATTTCTTACTCTAGCCTGCGGCAACTGCACACAGAAATAAAACTACACCAGGAATAAAGAGGGAGTCAAAAGGGAGAAACCACGCAGATCTACACCACAGTTCTTACCTGGCAACTAAGCCCAAGTCCAGAAGTCAAGCTCAGCACCAATGAGTAATTACCTCCTATTTGATAGGAATATATTTTTCTTGGTTTAATTGGAGCAAAAGCTTAGATTTCACTATCAGTTTCCATTACAGGATCTGATATAACCCCCTTCCTAATCAAAGAATATATCGCAGAGCTTTACCCCTCTACTTTCTCTGTTCCTCCAAGAGGATATGTGTGTTACACTCATAAAACAACACAGCACTGTAGCAGGTGGCTGGCAAAAAGCATATGGGACAAGAACATAGGAAAGAACTTTTGTTTGGTCTCCATTTTAAACTTTTCCAATTCCTCCAAAAACAGAGCAGAATCCTCGTTCACTAAAAATGTGGACGAGAGCTACGTTTGTAAAGAAGTAGGCTCCCTTTCCTCCTGAAATGGGAGGATTTTCTGACCTTTGGGACCTCTTTCAACACTTTCCTATCTTAAGACTTTTTCAGAGAGAAGAAAAGGAAGCAGGTGAGTGATATATGTACAGACAATACTTCAGTTACGACTGAGCAATTTTTCTTTCAAGTAGTTTAAGTCTTCTCAGCTGTACCGTTAAAATAGGATATCCCAGAATAAATCTAAGGAGCTAAATGTAGCTGCAATCCTCTAGCAGTCATCACAAGCAAATTAGTCCTATGTAAAGGTGTAAAGAGATGTATATTACCTACTGTAATAGGAAAATATATGAAAACTGACATTTAAATGCATAACAACTCCCTCTTGTGCAGAGAACATATACAGAAAAAAATAATAGAGAACTTACTTAGAAAGTTTAAATCAAAGAACTAGTTTATGGATGCCTGCAGTAGGACAGAAGACAATGCTTTTCAAATGAGAAAACGTCACAACTAAAAGGCCCTCCTCTAGTGTCAAAGGACCTTTCCCAAAAATTTAAGTCTTTGAACAAAGAATCCAATCCTTCTTTGAAGAAAACCTTGTGGGAGGGATGCGTAAGAAGCAATATGGCACAAGAACTAGGAGTTGGTATGGAGGGAAGCTTCACCACATACCCAAGCCAAAGAGCATCTAGTAACCCCACACTTATGGGAAACCAACTAAAGAATTCCCCCAAAAGGAACAGATGGGTAGAATGAATCTTGAACTTTTTCCTCAGACCTTTACATATTAGAAGGAGAGCTCATAACACAAAAACAGCTTAAACCTTTCTGAAACTTTTTACCCCGCTGTCTCTTCCACTGATGTTAGTGATGCTTTTGCCCTTTCAGTTGGAAGCTTAAGGAGGGAAAATAATTTGCTCTGTATTAGGAGGAAGATGAAATGAAGACCTCTAACTTTTGGTTTAAAGAGACCAGGTAATATTAATTCTGTTTCCATCATTTCTCACAGGAAGTCCAACGACTTGTGACTTAGCGGATCTCTGTAGAGCAACTGATATCCCTATCAAATCATTTGAGTCACTATAATGGGCCCATAAATGTGTTTCAACACTACACTACTCACCAGCTTCTCTGCTAATCCTCAGAAAGGTCGTCAGTAAGGGGGAAGATCTATTCCAAGAGCTGAAATTGATACCAAGAAGTTAAAGCTAGATAATTGGCCACTCAATTGCCTAGGGTCCTCTTTCCCTCCAGAAGCAGCACTCCCCCAAAACCCCACCACCTCTGCTGATGTATTTGTCTAACAAAAGAGAAATGGAATTTCTCATTTTTGATATACAGATAACATCAAGGAGATTAGTAAAGATTACATTGGCTTAAGAATATCCAAGAACTGGCGCATGTTTTCCATGTCTTGGCCCTTTTCTTCCTAAATCTGAGACCCTTTCACTGTCTCTTGAAACTGCCTAAAATAGTCAAAAGCAAAGTAAAAGTGATGTTTTTTAGAAGTGACTGACAATTGCTTTACTCAGAAGTTCTTTGTATGATTTAGAACTGCTGCTGCTTCTCATCCAGAAGGATGGCTGTGTACAGCAACCAAGAGGAAGGATCACGCTACAGGGAACTAGCACGTTATCTTGCAAGTGGTAAAAGAATGAAGAGCAGCAACAAGAAATTGCTAGTTTTCTAAGCAGATGATCTCAAACAATTCTCAGTCTATAATATGTTGAAAGGAAATCCTGGCAGAAAGATGCTAGCTAGACTCACTTCTTTGTGAAGCACTTATGACCATCAGGGGATGGACCAGAGCAAAGGAAACATAGTATTTTTAGGGACAACTAAGGACCTGGGGCCACATATAACTGAACTTCCAAGTAGTGGAGGGTAGCAGAAACTAGAAACTGGACTATCTATTGGGAGCCAGGTGCCAAACCCATTTTTGTGAAGGAGGACTTGTTAGGGAACAAGGCTGTTGGAATGGACAGTGTTTTGCTTCCTAAGTACAGAAAAGGTTTCTTCTGGTATCTAAGGAACCAAATTCTATATTCTACAGAGCCAAAAGAAAAAGAAACTGCATGGCACCGGTTTGGGAAATGCAGGCTATGGAATAAAGATAATGATAGCAAATAGAACAATTTTTTTTTCAGGCATAAAGGAGGAGGGATCTATTTTCTGTCAATAGCTTTATTTCTTGTTGTGTGCAATTATATTTGGCAATAACCATATTTATTTTGCATTATGAAAGTAATTCAGTATTACAGCTAGGGCCTGCCCTGGAAAGATATACCTCGCAGCAGTACTGTAAGATTAGGGCTAAGAGATTGAGTGTAAAAATGGTTCTTCAGTCTCATCTCGGGAGTAAGAACCCTCTTTGTTCTCATTACGCATAAGTATTGCTACAGGCAGCTTCTCTCCACTTCCCCACGCTTCCATTACTGACCACCAGCAGGGACAGGCCATTGGGGCAGAAGTTTGGTTCAGCATATGAACATACAATGATTAAAGCGGTGCTAGGAAAAGGAGACCCGACCACTAACAATCAAACCAGAAAATTAAAACATGCTTAGGAAGGTTGTTTAGAACGAAGAAAACCTAAACTCCAACCAGCTGGCTTTGAAGGTAAAGGAGCAGCAAACATCTGTAAGATAAAAAGTTCTCAAAAATAATATTCTTAATAGCAAAGTAAACCAGATTTCACATCCAATATTTCAGTGTTACAAAGCTTCAGGCTTACAAGATCTACATTTCTTACAGCTTTAACTCAGACATCTCTTCTGAAAGGCTTTCATCGAGTTCCATTTCAAATATAATACCTGAAAGATTTACATCCCTTCCATGCTTCTCATCTAAAGTTGAAACTGTGGACTCCAAGCATTTACCAAAAAACCATCCGCCTGCAGAAAAGAGTCCCTTCAGTTTGTATAAACAAGGTATTTTTGATCAGAGAATCATCATCTCTGTTCCTTCAAAAGAAGGGGAAGAAGAGCAAAGAGGGTCTTGCCAAGCCAAAAGTTAATCTGCTCTGACAGAGCAGCACTAACTCCTGCCTTGGCCCTGGGGCACTTCACAGCCAGATGTGGGGAGTTCGGAATATGGAATAGTTCGGAAGTCCTAGAAAGCAATGTCTGACATCTCATTTGATCCTCTTCCTTGCAGAGGCTGCTCTGTAGTTAGCAATTGCTCCATGCATCATCTACTGTTTAAACATATTTTTAACATAGGTAAATGCTCAAAGAGCAACCGATGTTATAAATGGTTAAGGAAGCTTTCTCAGTGTGACTGTGAGTTCACATTAACATATAACAGGTATAAATCCAACTTTCTACTTACCATTTTAACCTCTGCTTTTCTCGGAGGTGCCACTAAAAATGGACCCTTATGGTTTTGTTCTGCTTTTTCCCATTACCTAATTTTTGCAGTATGGTATTTGAGTATACTTTTAAATACTAGAGGAAATGCTAAAATACAGATAGGCACTTTTATGACACATGCAAAGATATGTAGCCTTTTAAAAGCAGATCTTTTAAGCAATCCAAGCGTGGTGTTTTGGGTTTGTGGTTGATTTTTTTTTTGAGAGAGAGAGAGAGAGAGAATTACTTATTAGAAAGCTGCAGTGAGTTGAAATAAATTTTTTACCTGATTGAAAATATCTCCTCGAACAACTTCACAATCAACTTTGTATTTACAGATCAGGCAGGAAGCTGTTGCAAAGGAACCTGAGGGGAAAAACCCGTATGGTAGAAATAAGGATTTTTCAGTCATTCAGATATAGTCTTTTTGCCCAAGCTGTTTTGACACAAAGGCTGTTATGTTGCAGTGCTATAAAAATTGGTCATTAAAAAGTAATGTAAAATTAAGAGAAGATACTTCTACTACTAAAAGTAGTTCTTCTAGATGTTAGTCAGCAGACATCTTGTTTTAGGAAAAGTGATATGCCACATGCATGTCAACACAAACTATATTGTGTCCTTTCATTCCCCCAACTCGTGCAAGCATATACAAGGAGGGGAGAAGAGAACCTTCCCTTCTCCTCCGTACACAACTAACAGTAGTGCTGACAGCTCTGCAAACAGCAGCAGCAGAACATGAACCCACATGAACTCAAGAAACTGTAGGGCAAAATAACTAAGAAAATGCATTAGTAAAGACTTCACTATAGGCAACTAAATAGCAGCAGTGTTCCTTTCAGCAGAAGTGAGAAGTTACAGCTGTATTGTTCAAATTGAAATACTGCTCTGAACTTGGCATCCAGCTTAGCTACTGTGTTTATTATTTGGCAAGACCATCTTAAGTTCATTGCTCCATCCAGCCACTCGGTAGCTCTAACCAGCCTGTTTCTGAAGCAGTTGAAGGTGATGCCCACGTATCTGGTAGAACATTCGTGTCCCTATCTGTCTAAAGGGAAAGCTTATCAGGTGGCTAACACACATGAAAATACACAGTGTGGAGTCATTGTGGCAAACTAGAGCGGCCTTTTGGTGCATACGTGTCCAGGAGAGGTAAGCCTACAGGGCCTTTTATCTGTGGAAAGAATAATGCTAGAAGTTGACAGAATGCTGAAGAATAAAGTAGAAAAATTGACAGATTTTCTCCTAACCATGAAACAAGGGGTTAAACAAAAATAAAATTGACCCTGCACTGCAATGTGTCACTCATACAGCAAAACTCTGGAACTCTCCAATTTCTAATGGTGATATGAGGGCAGTAAGAAAGCCCTGTGACTGAGTAATGTATAGGGAGGTACAAAAGTCTCCCTTCAAAAGGAAACTTTTAGAAAGGTAACCATTAAGATGTTGAAAGCTTTGCAGAAGCTAGGAACAGCTAAAAACCACTGGTACCAAAACTTTATCTGGACTATTATTTTAAGCCACCCAAATGAAAGATGTTTTCTGCTCATAACCTACACACAGCAGCCAACCAACACTTACACTGCTAAATGAAGGGATTCTGGGGCTAAGTGCAACATCAAAATATGCTTTGAGGATATTGTATCTGGGTAAGACAAAGACAGCAAAAGCACACAAAAACTTGGAGCAGATAATTTATGAACAACTGGCAGTTCAGGTCTGCTAATCACAGCTGGTGTGGAAAGCGCACAGCTTCTGAAACGCTTGCTCAGCATTGCAATTCCCAGAACTTGAGGGATTCCAAAGACTACGAGAAGTATGACAGTTATTTGCTCGTTACAATTTGTTTATAGTAATAATCTAGGCCTTTATACAGTGTGTTAGGGACATGTCTGTCAGGCTAGCAGACCTAACCCTGTCTGAGGCATCTGTTGCTACCTACTTGCAACTCTATTATGTGAGTTATTTTTCACCGTCAGAAGGACTTGATCAAGAAGTTATGCTGCCCCATGCATGAGTCGTGTAGCCAGCAGGCCACTGCCTCTGATCATTCAGCTACAGTAATAGCAAGGAATACGATCTAATTCCAGACATGTTGGTTGAATGCAATAGCCATTTTAAATTCAGAAAATGCATCTAGGATACAGTAGTTTTCATAATAGCAACTTTACTGTAGGTCTGCAGTGTGAAATCGGTTCCAAGGTTCATACACAAACTCCCCAAATCATTACAAGGGTCCTTCTCATTTGGCACGCTCATGATTAACTTGCCATTGCCACAGCTAGGCAAAAAAGATAGAATAAATACAGCAGTATGAGCCCTTATGTAACAGAGTTTCAGTTTCTCTTTAGCCACTACCATTAGTCAACTAGCATTTGTTGAAGAGCAGCATAACCATATGTCAGATAAAGCTTGATGTGCTCAAAACAACCTTTGCCAATTTTTGAAGGCCTCAAAATCTCAAAGTCTCAGAAGTCCATAGCGTGTTTTTAAAGAATCTTTTTAATTTAAAATCAACTTATACAGGACATGGTCTGAAATCTAATCACTGTAGCGTGCAACTGAAAAAATGGGAAGCTTGAGCATGGCAGTGGTGTGCAAGAACACAACCATGTAAGAATTTCATGGTAAATACCTCATATGGAATGACAACCAAAAGAAAATACACGACACACTAAGTACAAATGGAAACTAGCACTAGATTTGGGTTATTTGACGGGGAGGATTCTACTGTGTGCTGTTTGGTCACCACGACAGAGCACCATGTTTGCTCTGTCTGAAAAAAAAAATTTTATTAATTTGGTACTGAGCTAAACTTTGTAGAGAAGGAAACCAAGAGAGTTTGGTCCCTGGAAAAGGTGGAATTATACAGACAGGTCTTACAAACATGCCAACGCTGCTTTTAAACAACTTATTTGCTAGAAGTCTACTAAAGGATCCAAATGTGCATTTTAAAAACTAATTTTCTGTGTCCTTTCCTTAAAAATGAATCCTTGGACTTTTAGCTTGACCTTTGCAAGTCCTTGGAAATGGAAAGCGTATCGAGCAACTAAGTAAGAGATTCCACTTAATTTGGTATCATAATTGCAGAATGCATATGACACTGAAAGTGTAACAAGATGATCTTCAGTTGAACTGAACTGGTGATTAATCCACCATACAAGATAAAGTCACTGAAGTGTCAGGATATTTTACGATTTCAATGGAATATAGCCTAAATAAAGAATCAGGTAGCAGCCAAACTAATTCACTGACAGACAGTGAGAGAGACCTATACAAAGAAGCATCAAATACATTTTAAAAGTTAAGGTCTAAGCTTGTGCAAACAGGGTGTGGATCTTCACTGATACACAAACACCACCATTTATCAAGCATAATTTCTGAAAAAAGTATTTCCTCTTGAAACACTTCTGATTTAAATACTTAAGCTACATTTAAAAAAAAATTCAACATTTTAAAAGCAGAATACTTGTTGCCAAGAGATAACCAATTCAAGAAAAAAAAATAAATTAATTCCAATAGCAATTACCTTGTCACATGCACCAGTAAACATCATTCCTATACATAGAACAAGAAAAGTGAAACTAAAAGCACTAACCATGACACTGTATTATCCTTTGAATTCCTGCAACCTGTTCCAATGTGTCTATGTTCTGAGTATAGTTGCGAAGTAGTTTTCCTTCTTTATCCATCAAAGCTATAAACTTGTGACAGAGAGATGGCTGGAATTGTCCTGGGTAGATTTCCTAGGGAATTCAAAAGTACATTAGAAAGTGTAAATGGATACACAATGTCTTTATGCCAACTGCAGCAATTCACACAGAGCTAAATATTATCAATAATGATTATGTCAGCAGTTAATGTTGTCACTCCCTTTGCATTTTGCCATTTCTCTCAGATCCGACTCTTCTTTCAACAGCTGAGCTTCTGATCATGTCAGGATGAATTGCTCCATGCAAGCTGGTATTTTGTTCTTCACACAGCATAAAAGCAAGGTTTAGATCTTTTTTGGTTTTGAAAATTATGAAATAGGAAAGCTTTTCTTCCTTTGTAAGTGTCAAGTAACCTCAATATTTGTTATTAGAAACATATACGGTTTAACTGCAGTCTGAAAAAAGTTTAATGAGGAATTTGGATTCTGTCTTTTGGTTTGGGATAAGCAGTTTTTACTCCTCAGCATTATTAGCAGCTATTCCTACAAGTTGGAAGCCCAGAAAGCAGAATGGCATTGGATATAAAGCAGAAGACAGGGGACACTCAGAGCAGCTTTGCCAAGTTAGCCAGTTAACAGTAGTCATCAAGTTAAAACCATATGGCTTAGCAGAGCAACTCCACTGTGCCGGATAGCTGCTTAGCCCTTCCATTAGATCAAGGTAAAGGAGGTAGGTATATCCAAAGAGCGTATGGAAAAAAACAGGCACGTTTGTAGAATGATTTGATGTTTGCTCACAGTGAACAAGGAGCCTGCCAAAAGGAAAAATTAAACGTGGGCACCCAGCTGAAAGCTTCACACTAGGAACCTCTGTCTAGAGTTGACCACCCCAGGTGGTACCTCTGATTGCTGTGCGACTAGGAGGACTTCAGCAGTGGCACCACCACTCCATTGCTCAGGAGCAATTATTTAGGGGAGGAACTTGAATTCCAGACCCTCTGCTCTCCAGTCACTCTCTCACCACTGACCAGCAACTGGGCTGGAGGCTCACCTGGGAAAGTGAGGCTTTTTTACAGAAAAAACGCAAGAGTCACTGGCCAAAAGAAAGTTAGCAAGAAGGAGGCTGCTGCCTACCTTTACCAGTAGATGCTTAAAGCTGAACCAAAAGTTCTAGCACAACAGTGAACTGTTAAATTAATCTTTGTGACAGCTCTGCCTTCAGCTACCATATAGCCTATTAACAAACAAAAAAGACTTTTTGAAAGCATTTGTTTTTCCCAAAAATATTTCAAGTTACTCATGATTCTGAAGCTACGTGGGTCTTTGGGGTAACTGCAGCAATGATCGCTGGTTGCTCATGGTGCTATTATCTAGATTATGACTAGGCTATTACACAATTAGAAACAGATATTCTTGTAGTCCTAACAGCTTATATATCTTAGTCTGAAGAAGCAAGACAAATTTGCAGAGCTCAGTGGCAGAATGTATTTGACTGTTCTTTGCCCCTAGAATTAAAGGAACTTAAGATCTCATAGAATAAGAAATCAATATTCTAACTGAGCTGACAGACAGAAAAGGAGAAGGAGGAGAAATTATTTTAGTAAAAAAGTATCAGCCAAACTGGATTTGGACTATTCTGGTAAAACCTGTGTACAGACAGGCTTCAAGTAAGTTGGGGTTTTTTTTTGTTTGCTGTGAGATTTGGGTTCTTTGGGGTTTTTTGGGGTTTTTTTTTTGGGGGGGGGGGGGGGGGGTGTTGTTGGGTTTTTTGTTTGTTTTGCTTTGCTTGTTTTAAATATTAAAAAAAACCAAGGAACTGACTATACTAAGGAGCATCAAAATACATTAGTATCTGGACAGGAGGCTTTCAGAGAAATCCAAGCAGCTGAAGAATGCATTGATTTTTCTTTTCCAATCTTTATAACACAATAGAGCAGTTGTATAAATTGTAAGCGAAGGGAAGAAAAAGTGAGCACAACTAGTAGTGATTGATTTTCACAAGTCCTTACTGATCCTGTAGTAATTCTTGTAACATTTTTGTTTTGATTTTTTTTTTGTCCTGAGGAAATTCCAGACTAAAGGCAATTATTTTTTTGTCTGTACATATGTCTACAGCTTCTACAATTCCTTCATGTCTCAGATGAGTACTCCCTGCTTTTTAAACTGTTTAATAACACTAACATCTTTCCAAAAACTGCTGTTCTCCCTTTTAAATGAGCACAGTCCCTGCAAAAGGGCTTTAATTCTCTAAGATGTACAGATCCTTATGACAGCTATATCAAAACCTGAAACAAGAACAAACTTATTAGTGCATGAAACTGCTTTAGTCCTCTTTACTGTAAATACAGTGATAAAATGTGAATGTATGATATGACATTGAAGAGCATGCCATAGTATATCAAATTCAAATGTAGTTTTTCACATTCCTCATGTGCTGGCCAAAAGTTTCTCATATTCTTTCATTTTTCAGAGAAAGTAACAGCAGCTAAGATTATTGAGGTTTGATCAAATAACTACAAGTTTTTATTTATCCTTTCTGAAATTGGAGACACTGTCTAGAATGCTTGTATATATAATGAACTTATAACAGGAACAGTAAAAATGAGCTTAAAAAAAAAAAGAGAATGTTGCTAAATATTTCTAATAAGGCTAAGATGTGGTTGCATACAAGGACTGAAGTAACACTGAGGATGTAGAATTGATACATTGCGAAGACATGCCCAAGGAGAGTTATTATGCTACTGAATGAGGTCTCTCACTAAAGTAAATTCAATATATTAACATATTTTTCTATCTTGTTTATAAAAAAAAAGACAAAGATACCATTTTGTTAACAGAATAGTTTTATACCTGATTTATGCATTTTAATACTGTCATCTGTCCTTACTGACCAAGATAAGAACTGTTGGAAAACCGTACCTTTGCAAACTTAAAAAATGGCCTGGGATCCTTTCTGAAGTATTCTATATCAAACATTGCTTGAGGATCTGGAAGGTCTGGGAAGTCTACAGCAAGGCGTGCATAGATGCCATCTCTTGATCTGAAGTCAGGTATTCCACAAGACACAGACACCTGAAATATATTTTTGCAATCTGAAATAAGCGAAACTACATATTTGGCTATAGAGTTGCTATGATATAAACTATTTGGGAAACCACACTTCTGTATGCTCACAGTGCTCAGAGACATTAAGAACAAAACCAGTCTGGGTCTGGGTTCTCTATATTTATTTTTCTTTTTTTTTTTTCCCTTTTTTTTTTTCCCCTTCCCCTTTTTGTGGACCAATGTAACAATTCCCAAATCACAAGCAGGAGAAACAGCACAGAAACAAAGTTTGACAACTGGACAAAAAAATCCTTTAGTACAATCTGTACAGGCAGTAATAGGACACCAGGCCTTATGTTTACTACTGGAATTTTTGTGAGAAGTGAACAAAAATTTAAAATACTGTTGCATTAAATTTGATTAGTAAGTGTTCATTGATCTGCAAACTTCGGCTTGGACAAGGTGGCTGGGTTTTTTTGGTTTTTTTAACATGTTAACACAGTAACAGAATAGATTCTTACTTTTGATGAATAAACCCCTTTTGATAAACAAACATTGATAAACAAACATTGTTTATCAAAGCATTGTAGTAGTCAATAAAGACTAAAATTTATTGTCTCAGACTACCCCAAAATACTGTGGGAAGAGGAGGAGAAACAGGTGAATGATAGCAATCATTGAAACAGCAAGATTCGGCAATAGAAGAGTGCTTTTCTGACAAGCTGATTTGAATCACTCATCTTTTCTGAATGGCGTCACGCCCTCTGTGTATGAACAACAGAGGCAAAAAATGATCGACTTTTCATGATCTGGTACATAGATACAAAGCTGCAAATGTACAACAGTTTAAATACGTTCTTTAGTAAAACAGTGAGCAATCTTATTACCATCATAAGAGTGGCACATGTTAAAAGTAAAATTCAGTCTACTGAAATCCAATCAAATCTGCCTTATAACCCTCCCCAACTCTTTTTTTTTTTTCTTTTTGAGTCCTATTCTTCTAGTCCCTCTAGCTCCATCAGGTATTTTAAGAGATCCACTGACATTTTGTTTAAAAAGTCATTACCTTTGTTTCAAATTAAAAAATGACTAGGATAGAAAATGTTCTGAAACAGGTAGGTGTGATCTTATTCCATAACTATTTTGCATGGAAGCAACTGTGTAAGAGTTTAAATGTTTAAGAATATTTTCTTATAAGAAGAGAGATCTTGTAATTTCCAACTTAAGCTCCAGTCTTGCAGTGTGCATCGTTCTAGCGGAAAGCTGTGCCTCCTCTTCCCATCTAGCACAATTATTTGATTATGAACGCTGCGAGGGTCACATCACCTGCATGCTATAAAGCAGTGGGTAAGTATTTAACCAACTGTCTACATATTCTCTCACTGTCATTGCAGCAATACGTACCCCAGCTCCAGTCAAGACCATTATTTTTTTGCATTCTTGTAAAAGTTTCACAGCATCATCAATAGTATTAATATCTTTTCGTTTTTTTCTTTTTGGTGGTTCTGAAAGAATGTTTATAACTATTTGCCACAGTGTCATATCATCCAGTTCAGGTGGAGGGATTGTTTCGGGTAGCAGGTCTTTCAGAATTGTCCGTGGATCTGTACCTAACATGAGATGCTGCTGAACAAAAGTGTAGGGACCTAAGAAAATTAAAAAAATATAAATATTTAAAACTGAGTCAAGTATTTCAGATGATTACCATCATCATCATCCCATTTGTTATTGCTTCCTATTACAATTTTATTAATCCAATTTAATGCTTCGTTCATCAAAACCCCTGTATGTTTTGGTCTAAATTCTGAGGTGATAGTATAGCTAGAGTTTTTACTTATTTATTATTATTATTTTTCATAATGTATCTCCATTTTATGGCTTCATTTATATTTTTCCAACATATTGTAAGGTATTTACAGTAATAAGTTGAAGACAACAAACATACATATACTTTCTAGTCATATTATAAAACATCACTCTAAAGAGACAAATAGAGCCCACCAATCCATGGATTTTTGTTGTTCTTTTAGTCTAACACTAATGATTTCAGATATGACCTCCTAAAGCCATCAATCAGTCTTTCCACAAAGACTCGAGATTAGAGCTGTAGAAGAAAAACAGGTAAATCTTAAGAAACTAAACTAAGAGGACCCAAATAGCTATCACTAAGGCTAGCTACAATACATATAAAGAAAACAATTGTTATACATATTTACCCAAAAGGTACCAACAGTGATCCTATAACGAGGGATCAGCAAAGGCAACATATGGGCAGATTTTAAGTAGAATATTGTGTTATCATAATGTGTTTTCTTGATGCTATTCTTATCAATACTGGCAAAATGAACGCTGTGGCATCATCACACCTATGTAAAAGACCTCAAGTCCCAGCCCCACTGCACCCTGGAAGCCACTGTCCCACATAAATCACCAGTGACCTTAGCAGTTACCTTGCCTCTGTGCGAGACAAGAACTTTCTAATGAGTTCCTAACTGTCTTGCTTAACTTATCTGTTGCTAATATGCAATATGTATGCAGACTAATAATTCCCAAACTGATGTAACACTTAGGACAGTGAGCCCTACAGATTGGCTAAAATCGTGCAAGAATCATCTTCTTGTTCCTTAAAGAACTAAAACTAAGTAAATAGGCTAGAAATGTGCCATAAATCTGTTCAATTTAGCGAGTCTATGTGTATGTTTTTAATATGGACCGTGGCAGGATTTCTATACAAAAAAAGACATTGACAATTTGAATCAAAATAGAGCAAGTGTAAAGAGGTTCATTTTTAAACTCCTTAAATAACATACAGAGTACAGTCAACAACTCTAAGCAGCTCAAAAGCAGCAACTGCCAATTTTTTTGCAACAGAAGAAATCACTTGAAGACCAGGAAGAATTAAGTAACTGTTCAAAGGCAGACAGCATCCGAGAATATTATATAGGCTTCTACCTATACGTGGTCTTGGGGTCCAATCACTAGAACTTGCGTGTGAGGCTCTGTCATCTTCATCACTATCACAGGAGTGAAAACCATTGGCTATGATTTCATCACTAAAAAGGAAGTTATCTGCAAGACAGCACAACAATGACGGGTTACACTTAGCCAAAAGGCACAGATATATATTTAAATATATGACAAAACCTAAAATTGTATGCTTTTAAATTTGATTGCAACGAATTACAAATAGGCAGTTTTGTCACTTAGACACAGAAAACTACTACTTTTTTTGAGTTTATAGATACGCTTTCAAGCCTTCAGTAGAGTTACTGCAGGATTTGCTACCTTAATACTGGGCTTCAGTGGGCTGGATGTTGACCTTAGTGAAATTTTCATTCTATAAAGTGCTGGGCATTAAGGATTTTGTATCTTAAAAAAATCCAAACGCTTTAAAAGTGCAATTAAAAATTCCTTTCTCTTACAATTCTCACTTCATTCAGCTCACTGAGAAATTGGCTAAAACGAAAATGCGTCATCATTAATAGACCAATCTTTGACTAGGTTTCAAGAGCATAGTATTTTAAAAGAAATAAATACACATTTGAGTACAACTAAGTTACAGAATTTTGTCAGGTTATTATCTTGCAGCTGAGCTGCAATAGGCGACCACATACACACTTGTATTATATTTCAGTTATGACAGAAAATGTGCTACCTTGAACCACCTTAACCAAGTTTCTCATCCATTTTACCCTGCAGTTGGGTTTGGCTTAGAGTACTTCATAGTTACTGCAGCTCAGCTCATGGCCTTAAGCCAGAGAAACTCAATCTAACTTCATCACGTATCTAGATGGAGTCCAAAGAAGAATGAGATACTTGTCTTACAGCACACGCATTACTAAGCTAACGTTTAAGGGGAAATCTAAATTTTAACCTGAACAGCTTATTAGAATTTAGACTAAACTTTTTCTATTGGCTTTATTAGAAATAGCCACAGCAACTGTAGCTTAATTTGTTGAAAAATCTAAGACTACAAACAAAGGAGAGCAAGTTTCAGTCATGCTCTCTAAAGCAAAGAATCACTATACTTCTTTTCAATCTCTACTTGAATAAACCCCTACAATATTTCAGCTGTTACTTCACTTTACTCTTAAATAAAGAACACCACAAAACACCATCATTTTTTTATTCAGAGATTGTGTTGTCCTGTTCTTTCCCTTGTTGGCATAAATATTTTATTCTGATTAGAATGGAAAGAGGTAGAGGACAGAAATTTGCTTTTGGTACTGGCTGTCTTGTTCTTCTGAGACCACAGGTGCTCACTGACATTACTATTTCTTATTACTAATCTACATATTTACAGCATCTCACTTCCATCTCATTATGCATGAAGTCAGTGAACATATTATCCAAAAAGCATTACGAAGAAGAAAAAAGTTGATTAGTACACATCAGTAAGCATGAAGTGCCAGTTTTACTAAAACAACCTTTATGTCTACTGTATCTGTATAAAGAATCAAAGCTTATGTTGTTAAAGACTCATCATATACAGGTCACATTGTATTGTATTTAAGCAACACTGTGACAGACACAAGTAGGCTAAAGTACCAGTTTAAACTGTAACACTCCCTGTGAATTCATTCGAGTCCTCAAAGGACTAAAGGGAATGCTTGCCAGAACTAAGCAATCCACAGCAAAACATGCCTGAGGATCTGAGTAACTGGAGCAAAAAGGCTTCACGTGAGGCACTGATAAGAGCTCATTAGCTTTACTCTTGCACTGCTCCAATGCAGTTTTTAAATACCGAGGCTGTTCCAAGCCTGTCATACAGCTCTGTTCCCTTTTGGATTGCTTTTGCACAGGCAGAAATTTTCTGTAGAGTTTTTACTATGGAGTTAAAGGTAAAGAGCATCTTTAACTGCATTCCAGGATAAAATGGAAAGACTGCACTGGCAGAACGCAGTATCTTATACCTTTGAAGAAGTCTTTCCGAAGCACAACCTTAAAAACCGAGATGAACAACAACAACAAAACCCCTCAAAAGCTATCTGTTTCAATAATGCAATGCAAGGTACTTTCATACCGATACTGCCCAAACAGCGTGCTTCGAACACGATCTGCAAAGAAGCTTTTTAGAAGATTATAGCTTAGTTTTGTGCTGCAGTCACTGAAATCTTAACCAAGACTGTAACCTGAAGTCATTTAAAGAATGGTTCAAGACTGCCGCTCCTGTGCTCTCTGTAGAAGTTTCCAAGAAACAGAAATAAAACGACTATCGCGGCGGAAATTGTGAAAAGGAAACGGGGCTTATCGTTTTTCATTTTTAATAACTTGTTGCCAGCAACACAGCAAAATAAGCGTTTTCAGAGATGGGAGCCGAGTCGATCTCCTTCCACGAAGCCCAGCACAAGAAACGCCCGGCTTTGACAAGGACCGACCGGAATTAGAATCGATCAGGTTTGGAAAAAAGGGACGCAGCTGCTCGCTCGAGCTTGCGTTCAACCTGCGGCGGTCGAGGCGACCGAAGGAGCACGGCGTGCGCTCGGGGGTCGCCCCGCACGGTCC